TTTTCTGTGGTGGAATAGTTGAGTTGGGCATCGTTGAGGGTTCTACTAGCATAGTAGATAGCATGTGTCTTCTTATCAACTCGCTGCCCCAAAACAAATCTAACGGCATAATTTGAGGCGTCACACATCAGTTCAAAAGGCAAGCTCCAATCCGGTGGCATAATGATTGGTGCAGTTGTGAGCATCTTTTCCAAAGCATTGAAAGCATTCTCATAGTCTTGATCAAACACAAAATCCATATCTTTGGCAAGGAGATTGCACAAAGACCTTGCAATCTTAGAAAAATCCTTAATGAAACGCCTATAGAAACCTGTATGGCCAAGGAAAGAACGTACTTCTTTGACAGAAGTAGGTGAGGGCATAGAGGCAATCAAATCAATCTTAGCTTTATCTACCTTAATTCCTTTACTAGAGTTGACATGACCAAGAACTATGCCTTGGTTAACCATAAAATGACATTTTTCCCAATTAAGCACAAGGTTACTTTGTTCACATCTAGCCAACACCTTCGATAAGTTATGCAAGCATTGATCAAAAGAATCATTGAAGATAGAGAAGTCATTCATGAATACCTCAATGAACATTTCTACCATGTTGGAGAAAATGCTCATCATGCACCTGAAAAGTGGCTGGGGCGTTGCAGAGACTAAAAGGCATCCTCTTATAAGCAAAAGTGTCAAAGGGACATGTGAAGGTCATCTTCTATTGATCCTCTAGGGCTATGGCGATTTGATTGTAGCCTGAATATCCATCAAGGAAGTAACAGTGGCTATGGCCAGCCAATCTCTTAAGCATCTGATCAATGAATGGAAGAGGAAAGTGATCCTTGCTTGTTGTTGTGTTGAGCTTCCTATAATCAACGCATACTCTCCAGCCCGTGGTCATCCATGTAGGCACAAGCTTGTTTACTTCATTCTTCACCACTGTGATACCTGACTTCTTGGGAACAACTTGCACTGGGCTCACCCATTTACTATCAGAAATAAGGTAAATAATACCAACATCTAAAAGCTTCATTACCTCTTTCCTTACCACCTCCTTCATGTTTGTTTTGAGACATCTTTGGGCATCCCTTTTAGGCATTGCGTTGTCCTCTAATATTATCCTGTGTATGCACAGTGTTGGGTTTATGCCTTTGATATCTGCAATGCTCCACCAAATTGTGGTTATGTGCTCTTTTAGAACTCTCAAAAGCTTCTTATCATCATTTGGTTTAAGGTGTGAGGCAATGATGACAAGTAGAGTCTCATTTTCACCTAAATAAGCATATTTAAGTTATTTTGGCAATTGCTTTAATTCCAACTCTGGTGCCTGCACAATAGAAAGTAAAACCTTATTAGTAGGTGGGGGTAATGATTCAAATTGGTTTGCATACCTCTTTTCAACTCCTATGTAGCTATCCATGTTGCAAACAAGCTCAAGAAGTAAATGAGAGATCACAGCCTCTAAGTTGTCCACTTCTTCTTTCCTTATGCTTTATGTGATGCATGCTTCAATGGGCTCCAAATAACTTATTGGCAGTGCTTCTTTTACCATAGTATCAATTGCATCAAGCTGGAAAACTTCATGCTCATCACTTGGAAACTTGGAGGCTTCAAACACTTTGAATGCTATTGTCTCATCAAACACGTTCATAGTCAATGTTCCCTTTTTCACATCAATAATAGCACCGGCAGTTGCCATGAATGGCCGACCTTGAATAAGTGCTAACTGATTGTCATGAATTGGTGCTTCTTCCATTTCCAACACCAAGAAATCTATTGGCAAAATTACCTCTTCCACTTTCACCAAAACATCTTCTAGAATGCCCTTAAGGTACCTAATAGTTATATCTGCCAATTGAATGCTCATAGATGTGGCTTGCAACTCACCAAGGTTAAGTTTCTCATAAACATGATATGGCATAAGGTTTATAGATGCACCAAGATCAAGCAAAGCTTTTTGAAACTTAAAATCACCAACTATGCAAGGTATAGAAAACGAACCTGGATCCTTTAGCTTTGGAGGTAGCTTTCTTTGTAACACTGCACTTACCTCTTCACTCAATGCAACATGTTCATGCTCTTTGAATCTCCTCTTGTTAGTGCATAGATCCTTCAAATTTTTTGTATACTTTGGAATCTGAGCAATGGCATTGAGCAATGGGATGTTGATTTGCACCTTCTTGAATGTTTCCATTATCTCATCCAAGTCTTGATCTTTTTTTGACTTTGACAACATGCTGGGAAATGGTGCAATAGGCCTAAAAGCATTAGATGAAATGGGAACTTGATTAGCATTAGATGATACCTTAGGGCTTGTGCTCTTTCCAAAAGGATTGAGGGACTGTTTGTTGGAAGCTGTGGGCTGCCCTTGTGGTGGCTGAATGATATGCACGTTTTCTCCCTTTTTTTTTGCTCTATATTGGCATCTCCAACTTTATTATCAACTTTTTTACCACTTCTCAAGATCGGCACTGCTTTAGCATGCTCTTGATGCCTTGGATTCACCTCCGTTTGGCTCGGAAAAGTTCTGAATGCTCTATTGCTCAAGGAGGATGCAATCTACCCAACTTGCACTTCTAGTTTGTTCACTGCATTTTGAAGATTCTGATTGGTTTGCATTTGTTGCCCCATGAACTTCTTGAACATGTCTTGCAATTCTCCCATTTGATCACCCCTTTGCTCTTGCACTTGTTGGGGAGCTTGCTGGAATTGCCTTTGTGTTGTTTGGAATCCTAGGGGAGGTCCTTGAGATTGTTGCACATTTGGATTATGGTTCCACTTGAAATTAAGATGATTTCTCCACCTCGGATTGTATGTGTTTGAATAAGGATCATTATGAGGATTCCTTGCTTGAAGGACATTTGCTTGTTCCAGCATGTGCTCCGCAAAAGATTGGTCTTGAACTTCCACTTTGTTTCCTAGAGGGCTAGTCACTGCCTGTTGAAGCAAAGAACATATAACATCAAGTTTTACAGCAATCTCATTATTAGTGCTTACCTCAGAGACCGCAGCTTTCTTAGGAGCTCCTCTTTCTCTATTGTAACTCCATTGTTGAGAGTTAGCACTCAAAGATTCAAAGAGAGTAAAAGCCTCATCCGTTGTTTTGTTCACCAGTCCTCCTCCACTTGTTGCATCTATCATCATCCTTTCGGAATCAAGCAAACCTTCATAGAAAGATTGCATTTGCATCCAACTCTCTATATTGTGGTGTGGGCAGGAATTTACCATCTCCTTGTACCTCTCCCAACATTCATGAAAATCTTCTCCTTCTCTTTGTGTGAAACCAAGAATTTCCTTTCTAATCTTGTTTGTCTTTTGAGTTGGAAAGAATTTTTGCAAAAACTTATTAGAAAGCTCATCCCAAGTATGAATTGAAGCATTAGGCAAAAAGTATAACCAAGACTTAGCTTTATCTTTTAAACTGAATGGGAATAGCCTCATCTTAATCTGCTCATCATCAAGGCCTTGAATTTTGATTATAGCACATATTTCAAAGAATTGCTTAATATTCATGTAAGGATCCTCAGTGGTATTACCATAATAATTTGGAAGAAGATGAATCATACCACTTCTAAGCTCAAACCTGTCAATTGTGAGTTGAGGAAAGACGATGCACGAAGGTTGATCAGTGACTTTGGGAATGGAAAACTCATGTAGGGATTTTTTAGATTGGACAGCAAGCGCACCACCTCCTTCAACATTATCTTTGTTGTTTGGAATCTCTGCCATCGTGCTTGAACCTTCAGATTCGTAACTCTTAGATTCAGCGCTTGAAGAACTATAATTCCTCCTCAACCCAGCACGTAGAAAAGCAGTTTTTGGTGAAAGTGGCTCAGGTGAACTTTGCTCTTGGTCAGATTCGGACATACATGCACACACAAAGAAACTAAATTTAATGTCTTCAGTTGAGATAACAACTAAAAATAAAAACTGAATACTAAACGAAAAACAAATGAAAAAAAAAACGAATAAAGTTAACAAAAACAAAAACACTCAAAGTAATCTAACTATAGACCATTGTTACCGGTTCCCCAGCAACAGCGCCAAAAACTTGTTGGTCCTATTCTTAAAGCCTAAAATGAGTTATTAAAATAGCAACTTTAATTCTCGCAAGTGCATGAACCGTTTATAGTATAGCTTATGTAAATATGAGGTCGATCTCATAGAGAATGGTAACTTTGTTCCAAGTTAAATTACTTAGAATGCAGCAAAACAGAAAAACAAGGAAACAAACAAACTAACAAATGGCAAGGTCTAGGATAGAATCCTAGCACCACACACGCACTTGAAATAGGGGGTTTTGTTGTTGAAATGAAAACAAGAAAGTGAAATGAAAGTCCTGGAAAGTAAAAGAAAGTGAAATAAAAGTCCTGGAAAGTAAATATCGGCAGCAATCAACAAGTTGTGAAACAATGATTGAGAGGTGTTAGAGTCTTGGAATCCACCGTTAGTCTTCCTATCCAAGCTATGAATGCATACAAATTGACTCAAGTTTAATCAACAATAGATTATCGCATACAAGCCTATGGTATCTAGGTCAGGATGCATGATTCTCCTAAGGTATGTGATTGTTGATGTGATTAATTGCAAGTCGACAATATCGCTCAAATTAGTGTAGTAGTAAATAGAGTATCGTTCCAACAGGGATAAAGTTAATCTATTAAATATTAGGGTAATTTATTTATAATTATATTTGAATTAAACAATAAGAGAATTATGGTGATTAAAATCTAATTAAGCAAGTAAAATAACTTGAGATTAAGTAAATAATGTAAAAGATGAAAACAAAGATGATAAAGCACTAAGGCACCAATTTCACCTAGCTAATCCCACCCAAATCCTTCTAACTTGTTAATCCTAATTACCTAACATGTTGATAATCATTTTCCTTTATCTCACAAATACTCTCTATATTAGTTTTATTCCTTACCATCAACCCACTCTATTCCTAGTTATGGATTCAGATAGCTAAGAACCCATTAAGATTTGTGGAAAATAATGACGTTTACACAAACCATAACCTAATCTTCCGAGTCGGCTATGTAATTTATGGTACTTGTTACTAGAAGCTTTTTATTAGGAATCTCCTTCTGGTCAGAACCCAATTCTTCCAATCATGCAATTAGTGGCCAATTAATTGAAAGCATTAAGAACTGTAACAAGCACTCAACATGTATAAATAAATAAAATTAACAATATCAAAGAATTTGAGTATTCATAGCTAGGCTACATCGTAGCCCTAGTAAAAGAAATTAGTTCATGAAGGACTTATTGAGAATCTTGATGGTTGATGAAGACATGGAAGGCACCAAATTCTCCAAGTAGAACGCCAAGGTTGCACAAGCTCTTCGTATTCTCCTTTGAGTGTTTCAGCTATGATTATGAATATGTAGGAATTTGATAGTAGATGATGGAGGATGGAGGATAATGGATCAATGTCCGAAACTCCCTATTTATAATACTCGTACAAATTCTACCTATCTAAGGTATAATTACAATTATTATAAAAGTAGGATTCCTTCTAATATAGGGTCTTCTTTATTTCTCCTTATTTGACTTGATAAGACTTGAGCCATCTTGAACTAGGAAATTTGACAACATTCCTTGCAACAAAAGGAATGACTTGGCTTCATTTTAATTAATCTCAAATCTTCATCTTCTTGCCCTTTTTAGCACACTCTCCTATTTCACAATTCCTTCACAAATCTCACAAAAACAATTAAAACAACCAATTTAATCCAAGGAAATTAACAAATAAATAAGTAAAGGAGGCATAATATATATATAAAATATAGGCTTATCAAATACTCCCAAACCTATCTTTTGCTAGTCCTCGAGCAAAACTAAAAATAAAAAATAAAAAATAAATTAAAACAAACAAAATAAACTAAACCACTTTCGCAGGTAATCTCAATGGCACTTAGCATGTGCCACAAGCCTTTAAACCTCTAGGTGTCCCTAGTAGGAGGAGTTGTGTCTCCTGAGGGTTTACTAGTCACGACACCCACAAACGCTCCTTGCAAAACAAATTCGTTAAAGTAATACTTCCAACAAACTAATAATAACCAATGGATGCCAATCATAATTCAAAAACTAAAGTTATGCCACTACAAATACAATGCACCATAGTGTAAAGTGTAAATCCAATACTCCAAGCACTTGAATCTTAAAGATAACCACACTTGGCATGTGTACAAATTCGCCTTGACTCTAGGCCTCACTGGATAACTCTCAATTTTCTCACAGAACCTAGGGTTGCACTCTTACCCCGCATATGTGAATGAAGTTAGGTGAAGAAATTAAAATATAAGACACATATGCATCAAAAATGAATAAAAGGCAATTTCTAAAAATAGATCTCATGGAAAGGAAATCAAATACTAAGAACCATAGATGAAGTACATACCTCCACTTCCGAGTAAGAAGTCCCCAAAGATCTGTTAGGTCTTTACTATGGTTGTAATGTAGGGCTAGGTTATGGGTTATGAAAGAAAGGATAGTAAATACTAGAACTTGAAACATACCAAGGCATTTATCGTGTTATAAGGCTTGGCTCTTCAAATTTACTTCACAAAGGCGTCTAGGATTTTTGATATGCTTCACTTTTTTCTTTCTTTTTCCTTTTTTTCTTTTTGAATATGTATCTTCTTCTTTTTTCTTCTTTTTTCTTTTTCTTTTTCTTGAACTTTAAGCACATATTTCCTCGGTACACGCCACCTCTTTTGTTGATGAGCTTAACCTTCATCCTTGTCTTCATGTGCTATGGCATATCCCAAGTTATAGGGTATGGCTAAAAATAGGGTAAAAAAGAGTAAGGAAATATTGTGGGTGATGAAAGAAAATGTTAAGTATTTGGCTTCGAAGGGTTGATGGCACACACAATGGGTAGGACATGAGGCTTTATTTAGTGGTTAGAACATGCATAGCCTAACATCATCTCTCAAGGTCCATCTAACTCAAAAGTAAAAGCATAAGATGATTCATACAAAATAGAGATTAGTTCTTAGTATTCAATTCAAAAGCCTAATTGAGAATAATCTAAATAAGAAAGAATGAAAATAGTGAATAAGAATAATTCCAAATACTCTCTCAATAAATCAGAATTCGTCTCAAGTATCTCACAATGATAGTCTCCACTATTTTTCCACAATGATCCAAGTATAACTACCTTGTCCATCAAAATACTTGAAGCAT